CAGGCATGCAAGGCAAGCTCTCTACCACTGAGCCAACTTCACAGCCCTGTCCATATGTTCTTGTCTTCATTGTTTATTCAGACAGAATCGCACTGAGTAGGCCAGACTGGCTTGGAACTCACTGGGTAGTCTAGGCTGGCCTGAAAGTCACAGGCACTGACTGTCCATCTTCATCCTTTGATTGAAAGACCAGGCATAATCCCCTGGCTCTATAATCATAGCTGTACAAGGAGCAGAGCTAGGAGGACCTCCAGCCCAGCCTAAAAATTAAGGCAAAGGGTACTCACTGGACACTAAGGCAATGGTACTCACTGGACACTACGTTAAAAATGAACTATAGAACTGGTGGATACGATGGGAGAGAAAAACTGGGAAAGAACGAGGAAAGGGGTGGCATTACATAACTGGTAACGTCCTCTGTACATCACCTTTAGAATAATAACTTTTTAAAATAGGCATAGCTCAGGTAGTAGAGCACCACCTAGTGAGGCCCTAGGTTCAAACCCCTGGACTGTTAAGAGAAAAGGCTGCATCTGAAAACTACTATACAGCCCCATCTTCTTGGTTTAGGAAATTAAGTCCAACTCTGAGTAGTGGGAGGCATTGTTGTTAGGAAGGCAGGCGTTAGGTGGTGGCCTCGCTTTCTGTCAGGCTGTGGGGCAGTGTTTGGCATGCAATGCATTCTTACTGAATAATATATGCCCATCCTTCTGTGGATATCACCGTCTCATAATTCTTCTTTTTTTTTTTGGTCCGTCCTGGAGCTTGAACTCAGGACCTGGGCACTGTCTCTGAGCTTCTTTTGCTCAAGGCTAGCACTCTGCCACTTGAGCCACAGAGCCACTTCTGGCCTTTTCTTTTATGTGGTACTGAGGAATCAAACCCAGGGCTTCATGCATGCAAGACAAGCACTCTAGTACTAAGTCACATTCCCAGCCACCATCCTGGATTTGTTTTTATCCTTTTTGAATAAGGGGTCTCCATTCTGCACTGGAGCCCAGAAATGACCCATCTAGCCTTGATGATGCTGGGGATACCTCCCTGCCCTCACAGGGCTTGTATTTTAAGAAAGACAAAACAAGCCGTCACTGTGCAGAGGCTTACTAGCCACCATGGTGTGCTGTGGATAAAGTGAGTCCAGCCCAGTGAGGGCCAGGCTTTCCAGCACCAGGTCTTGTTCTGCGGGAGTGAGCGCTGTGGTCAGAATGGCACCACACCCCATGGTGTGGCCAAGTCCTATTGCTGTGCCTGCCCCAGGACCACCCACTTTGAGGACCCTGGTAGTAGGAGAGGCTGTGAGGATGACTGCAATGTCCACATGAATGCAGAAGTGCAGCTGCTACTCCACTTCCCACCCTGCCCTGCCCCATGAGTGGCCTGTACCTGCCCTCATTCCAGGTTGCCCTAGAGACTCTCTTACTCCGAGGACCCCAGAAGTCACGTGCCCACCCGCTGGCTGACTATCGATACACAGGTAAGTGTGGGAAGAGCAGGCACTCCAGGGCCTGGTTGAGAGCCTTGCCAACAAGTCAGGTCCAGTGGTACACTCTGCCTTGACCTTTTCCTCCTCAGGGGCCTGGCCAGTGTGTTCTTTCTTTCTTTCTTTCTTTCTTTTTTTTGGTCATGAGACTTGAACTCTGGGTCTGGGCACTGTTCCTCAGCTCTTCAGCTCAAGGCAAGCGCTCTACCACTTGAGCCACAGTGCCACTTCCAGTTTTCTGGAGTTTCCCAGACTTTCCTTCCCGGGCTGGCTTTGAACTGTGATCCTTAGAAATCAGCCTCCTGAGTAGCTAAGATTACAGGCATGAGACACCAGCACCAGGCTCGCTGTGTTCTTCTCACTGCTGCCTGGGCCACGTCCCCTAGCAAGCCACTGAAGTCTTGGTTGCCACTAAAGAACTGCAAGGTTTTGTGGGTCACTGGCACACGTTTAGTGCTGGGGAATGGGGGCTTTAATGTGGAAGGTGGTCTGCACTTCCACTCTGGCTGTGGTCCCACAGGGAGAAATATCTCTTCCTCTTGGCCGTGTTCTCCCACAGGCTCAGACATCTGGACCCCTATGGAGAAGAGGCTCTTTAAGAAGGCATTCTGCGCCCACAAGAAGGACTTCCACCTGATCCACAAGACGGTGAGGCTTGGCTACCACTGCTCAAAGATTGTGAATGTTTCTCTCAGGATCTTGGCTGGTGCTGTAAACCTGCTTCCTATTGTTTCAGAATCAGAAACTTTCCCTTGTTCAGGATCAGAAACTCAGCTGCCTTTTCTTTTTCATTTATGATGTGTCTTATGTCACAAATGCTCTGTTTCAACTTCTAGCTTGTGAATACACAAAGCCAAAACAGTGATGTGCAGAAAGGATTTCTGGCATGAACTTACTACTCACTGAAATGTCCCGAGGAGTTTCCAGAGGAGGGGTGGGCAGTTCCTGGGAATGTACTGGAGGGCCTTGAGCATGCTCAGTGTGGGCTCTACCACTGACCTGTAGACCAGCCCTCCATTTCCTTCCTTTCCTTTTCCTTTTCTTTGCCATACTGGGGCTTGAACTCAGGGCCTAGGCACTGTCCCTGAGCTGCTTTTGCTCAAGGCTAGCACTCTACCACTTGAGCCACAGCACCACTTCCCGCTTTTTCCTTTTAAGTGGTACTGAGGAATCAAACCCAGGGCTTCTTGCATGCTAGGCAAGCACCCCACCATCAAGCTACATTCTCAGCCCCAGAACTCAACCTTTAAAGAGAACTCTTCTTAGAGCAGAGGGAAGGACAAAGGGGCAGGGCCTGAGTGCCTTTGGCTCCAACTGTGTCCTCAAAACCCCTCCCCTTGAGTGGGCCAGTTTGCTTCCAAGGCTTCTTCAGGGCTCTGTCTGCCTGTAAGGGCTGAGTGATAAAAAGCACCACCTCTAGGTCTTCCCATGGGAAGAACTTCCTGGGCTAGCCTTAGATGTGGGTGCCTAATGTGTGGCTTCACTTTGGACCCTGTTATTGCCTGGGTGGACCCTGCTTGTGCTGGTGGGCTTGGGCCCCCCAAGCCAGGTACCACTAGACCAGTGGTACAGTAGGGTTGTCACCAGGTGGTAGCTGGCTGGGGCACTTAGGGTCCTGTGAGGCGCCACCAACAGCCTACTTCCGTTTTCCTCCACTAGATCCAGACAAAGACTGTAGCACAGTGTGTTGAGTATTATTACATCTGGAAAAAAGTGATCAAGTTTGACTGCGGCCGAGCCCCTGGACTAGAAAAGAGGGTCAGGAGAGAATTGGATGAGGTAGAAAGGACAGAAGAAAAGGTTAGCGGACCAAGGGGGAAGGAGGCTGGAGTGCATCGTGGTCCCAATGGGCAGGTGCATGTACACACACACACACACACACACACACACACACACACACACACACACACAGCCACTGTAGTTGGAAGGGTGGGGGAGCAGTCTCAAGGGAAGGTCTTCCTGTAAAGCTCCTGGGTGCCTGGCCTATCTTTCCCTCACAAGGGTCACACTCAGCACCTTGATGGTTTTGCCTCTCTGCAGGTCACTTGCAGCCCTCGGGAACGATCTAGCCACCGTCCAACTCCAGAGTTGAAGATAAAGACCAAGACCTATAGGAGAGAGTCCATCCTCAGTCCCAGCCCAAGCACAGGCCCAAAGCGGACCCCTGAGCCGCCAGGAAGTGTGGAGGGCCAGGATGTCTTTCCATGCAGAGAGTGTGAGAGGTAGCTGGTCCTTCCGGGCCTTGGCCTATGATCCCTCCCTTGGCCACTCACCTCCTCCCTATCTGACCCACGTCCTCTGGCTCAACAGGGTGTTCGACAAGATCAAGAGTCGGAATGCCCACATGAAGCGGCATCGCCTTCAGGAACACGTGGAGCCTGTGGTCAGAGTCAAGTGGCCTGTCAAGCCCTTTCCACTAAAGGAGGAAGAGGAGGAGGAAGAGGAGGAGCTGGCAGCTGACATTGGCCCTCTGCAGTGGTGACTCCCTGCTGGCAGCTACTCTGGGGGGCTCCAACTCCAGCCCTGTCCTGCCTCCCTGGGTCTTTGCAGAGTGTTTGCCCCCCCTCCCTCACCACTCCCATTTATCCTATTCCTCTTGGCCAGTTTCTCTGGCCCATTTGGCTGTGCACAGGCAGAGATGTTACCAGACAGCTCTGAAGTTCCTGTGCTAGGACCAGAGGCTTAATCCTCTGCAGGTTAATAGTCATCCACTCCTTTCAATTCTATATTGCCTGGAGCTGGGAGGCTTGATGGGGGGAGGGGGCAGAGGCTCTTCAGTCTTAGCTGCCGGTGTGAGTTTGTTCTGTTGGATGAGGTGGTGATGTGTGATGTGGAGAATCAGCGGGTGCAAACTGAAATCACCAGCAGGTTGGCTCCTCCCCACAGCAGGGGCTCTGTGCTCTGGGTCCATCCATTGTCTTACAGTGACTTGTACATTGTTAGGTGTGTTTTGTACGTGTCTACTTGTAAATCATATTAAATTGAGTTCTTGAGCAGCTGTCTTCTGACTCCCCAGACTCTCAGCTACACAGAGGCGTCTAAGCACACAGCCCCCACTGGGATCCCGAAGGTGAGCCCCTGTGCCTGCCCTGGAGGCCCGGAGAGAGCTGGGCATTTGCCTCCAGGCAATCATTCAGTGTACAATGTGAAAAGCACCTGTTAAGAGACTTTCTCTGCTTCCATCCCAGCAGCAGAGCTGCAGGAAAGCTGAGGGCAAGGGTTTTTCCTCCCATAGTTTCTGCTTACATCTGGGGGTGGGGCCTTAGAACTTAATTTTAGGTAAAGAAGTCTTTTTAGGGTTGGGCTGTGGCTCCATGATAGAATGCATAAGTGTAAGGACTCAGCTTCTCCAGAAAACAAAAGGAGCCTTTTAGGATAGTTGGTGATTTATACAAATTTTGCAAAAACAGTACCAAAAAGTCCTATATACCACTCCTATTTCCCCTCATTATTAACATCTCCCACTAGTATGATACATTTGTTACAATTAGTGAATCAATATCAGCACATCATTTTTAATAAAGTCCATAGTTTGTTTAGATTGCCTTCATTTTTACCAGTGTTCTTTATGTCAAAGTCCCATCCAGGATATCTTACTATATTTAGTAATCCTGTTCCCTTAGACTCTTGCAATAACAGTGGTGATGGTTTCTCAGACTTCCCTTGTTTGATGACTTAACAGTTTTGAGGCATTTGGGGCAGGTATAGTGTTTAATGGGCCTCACGAGTTGAGAGGAAAGCCACCAAAGTGCTATTTCAATTATGTTACTAAGGATACACACTATCAGCATGACTTGCTTGGGTGACAACATCAGGTCTCACTGGGAACTTAAGCCTCCCTGTGCAGGCCCACATTGAACGTATGGGTAATTATACCCCATCTTTTTTGGGGGAGAGGTCAAGGAATGGTATTATGGCTTGAACTCAGGGCCTTACACTCACTAAACAGGTGCTCTGCCACTTAAGCCGCACCCCTTGACATCTTTGCTTTAGTTTGGGTCTCATGAGAGCTCCTCTCTCTCTCTCTCTCTCTCTCTCTGTATGACAAGAGTATGACAGACAGACTCACTCCCTTTTGGGCACTGCAGACCCATCTTGTATAATGTCTAGTTCTAGACCCAGCCATTTCTCCTAAGAATTCTGGTTCCATTGACTGGAGAATGGTATTAAAAACGAAGATCTAGGCACCTAGCTCTGGAACCTAACTCTTTTTTATGCTCGTCCTGGGGCTTGAGAACTCGGGGCCTGGGTGCTGTCCCTGAGCTTTTTTGCTCATGGCTAGCCCTCTGCCACTTGAGCTACAGCTCCACTTCCAGCTTTTGAAGATAAGAGTCTCACAGACTTTCCTGCCTGGGATAGCTTCGAACCATAATCCTTAGATCTCAGGCTCCTGGGTAGTTAGGATTACCGGTGTGATCCACCGGCTCTAATATTTAGAGAATCTCTGCTCTTTGCCCTCCCCAAGCCAGTTTGAGCACCGACCGGCAGAGGGCGCTAGCAGTAAAATAGTTTTATATATTTTTTTTAATCACAGAGGCCTTTCTAAATCAATTTTTTTTCTAAAAAGAATGACGTGATATAAAGTGAGGAGACGACAGAACTGCAGAACTGTCAAAACCGCGCTGGCGTGGGAACCTATCACGTGATCATGGAAGTCAGCTGACAAGTGCCCAGATTCCGCTGGGCGGGGTGTTAGTATTGTGGGAGGGGTTCTAGAGGCCGAGTCTACGATTGGCTCCCATGGCGTCACGTGGAGGGTGTCAGACGCGGGACTAGGAAACTAGCGGACGCCGTACACTGGTGTCTGCGCATGCGTGGATGTTTCAGAGCGTGGATTGGAGGCCCGGAGTCACTGGGCTGTGTACAGCGGCCGTGGGGGCGTGACCCTCGGGGGCGCGCGCCGCACCACGGAGCCTCTGGTTGGCTGACGCCAGTCAGGTGGCGCCGGGCCGCAGGCGGCGCGCGCCAGAACGACGTCAACGCAGCTCCCCGAGTTCTCCGGGTCTGTGTACGCTGCCGGCCTCGGCGGAGTCCTCCCTGGGACCGGGCCTGGCAGTTTGTGAGAACCTTTGCGGTCGTCATGGACAACTCCGCGAAAGAGGCGGAGGCGGTGGCGCTGCTGGCCGAGGCGGATCGCAAAGTGAAGAACTCTCAGTCCTTCTTCTCCGGCCTCTTTGGGTAGGAACTGAGCGGGGGTCTGCCGGGAGCTGGGCTGAGAGGTCGCAGGAGTCGTGGCTGAGGCCGCGGGCTAGGCCTCGCGCCGTCAGGCCGGAAGGACTGCGGTGGGGCGGCCTGAGGGGTCCCAGGGTCCCAGGCCGAACGCCAAGCAGCCCCGGCTTGAGGACGGTCAGGGGCCTGAGTCGAAGACACACAGGCCAAGGCGACACCATCTTGAGGCTGGAGACCGTCGGGGGTGACCCGGGCCTGGGGAACCACACTGCGGCCTCGAATAGGCCTCCTGAGGGGACTGAGGGAGCCCAGAGATTCACCAGGTTGCGAAGTTTTTGGCGCTCAGGGAAATAGGCTGGAAGGATTCAGGCCCTTGGCAGTGGATTGGTGTGGACGCTGGGTGGTTGAGGTGACGGGGGAAGGAATCGACACCAGCAGAGGATGGAGTTTAGGTGTCTGGGCAAGGGTGGCGACTAGCTTAAGAAGACCTGAGCAGAGGACCCTGGGTGAGGGAGGCAGACAGAGGAGGCCTGAGCTGAGAGGTGAAGATGAAGAGAGAAAGAAAAGGCAGTTAAGAGACTGAACCAGTGAGGGAATTGGAGGCCTGCCCTGTGGGCCTCGAGTCTAGGGGATCCCAGATGTGCGTTAGATGAGACTGATGGGGGCTGGGAGGCAGAACTAACACCTACGTGGTGACAGACATTTAACAAAAAGTTTATGTGAGGAAGCTTCATAGGCGAATAAAGCCCAAGGTTGAAATGTGGCTCTTCCACATCCTCATGCTAAGCATGGTAAGACTTTGGGGGGGGGAGGGTCATGGGGCTTGAACTCTGGTCCTGGGTGCTGTCCCTGAGCTCTTCAGCTCAAGGCTAGTGCTCTACCACTTGAGCCACAGTGCCACTTCCGGTTTTTAAATGGTTTATTGGAGATAAGAGTCTCACAGAGGTTCTTATCCCAGCTGGCTTGGAACTGAGATCCTCAGATCTCAGCCTCCTGAGTAGCTAGGCTTACAAGCATGAGCCACCGGATTACAGGCATGAGCCACTGGTGCCCAGCTATGATAAAACTTTTTATCACACATCAAGTGTGTTTGAAGTGCTTAGTATCGAGCCTGATGTGGGTTAAAGTTCTGGTATTGTCACCAGAAAAGACTTGGACATTTGGAGTGATAGAGAGGCCTGGATGGGGACAAGAGATTAGGAAGCCTGTATGTGATAGGGACCGAGGAGCTGAAAGGGAATGGAAAAGACGCTGAACCCTGGGGAGGTAGTAGGTTTAGGAGATCAGGTTGAAGGAGGGGCCTGAAAGTGTCAGGAAGAGGCCGGTAGAGAGGATCTGTGCTCAGAGAGGACACCAGAGTGGGGCACCGAGTCAAGAACCTCAGAGGCAGAGATGGGAAGATGATGGGAGCAGAAGAGCCAGCCAGAAAGGGAAGGAAGGGCCTGGGACTTGGACGAGCCTCTGATAGGAGCCTGGCAGAGGTTAATGAGAAATGAAGGGGAGGGATCTTTCCAGGAGAGGAGCTAGAGCTTCCTTCCAGTTTGCTTTTGTATGTTGTGAGCCTGGTGAGCCAGGGCCTTGCTATGTAGCCCAGGCTGGCCTGGAACTTGAGATCCTCCTGCCTCAGACTCCTTAAGGAACTTCCTAAGCATGTGCCACCACATCCTGGTGAGCCACCCTTTGTTATTTGAAGTTGAGTCATGTTTAGCAAAATAATTGAAGAATGTGGCTGGATTGCTTGGGGTAATGAAACATCCAGGTCTGATGGGCTGTGTTGATTAACAGGAATGTTTTATTCTGGAGGCTGAGGGTAGAAGGGAGGAGGGTATGTGTGTTTCTTCCTTTTACTAAGTGAAAAGTTCATGTGCCATGTTTGGGAGTGGGGCCCAGAGCTCAGTTTTCAGCAGTAGTTTTCCTGGTGCCTCTCAGTGACCGGTCCCTTTGGCTCAGAGATTAGTGTTAGTTAGTTAGAGTTAGTTACAGTTGGGCTGTGTTTGTAGGGAGCCGCTGTTAGCTCCAGAGCCACTTGTCACTTGATGGGAAGGCAAGATCAACACTTGCAAAGTGCTAATAAAACAAAACTGTCAAGATGTAAGGAAGGATTAGGTAGTGTCATTCATGTGAAGTTGCCCGGCTGAGAGGAAGTTACATGGACTCAAGGTGGGGAGGTGCACTGCATTCTTGGCACAGACAAACCCTGGGACATGCTAAGGGAACAGGGTGGAGGTAGACTAGCCAGAGGTCTGCTGTCTGCCCAGAAGGACTGAAGACCCAAGATGACATCCCAGATGAGAAACTGTAGTCTTGGGGTGCTCTGGAGGGGATAGCTTAGGCAAAGGGCCTAAATATGTAAAGAGCGCCCTGTGAAGGTTTAGTGTTGGAGTTCATGTTTGATCAGAACTCCGCATGGGCAGAGCAGAGGGAAGGCCAGGAGCGCTAACTTGGACTTGAGACACTGGCAAGGCTAAGGAGTGTAGTGGGGGCAATTCAAAGGGCTCCTGTTTGCCCTTTGGGAAGGACTGCTGCAGTGGGTGTGGGGACAGTGACGCAGAGAGCTATTGCAGAGAGAGTGGAGCTTGCAGGTGATGCTGGCCTTGGGTCCTACGCTTGGTTCAGACATTTAACCTGCTTCCTCTTATTTACTCCACACAAAATCCCCGTGGCTGTGGATAAAGAGTAAAGCAGGGCTTAGAGAAGTTGGTTTTATTTGTCTAGCACCACAGGAAGTGAGAGAGGCAGGTTCAGACCCTGGCTTGTTCCAAAGTCCTCTGGCTTTGCCATCAGGCTAAGCTACAAGCTACCAGTGTCGTTTGTTTCTGAGGCTGGGCCCCA